CATTATTAATATTATCATCATTATTATTATTATCATTATTATGACAATCGTTATTATCATGATAATTACGATGATGATGATAATGAGGTTAGGGATAAAGATGGTTATGATGGAAAAGGTGCTATTAAGGGTAATGATTATTTCGATAATAATTATAATCATGATAATGCTTATGGTCATGATGTTGATGATGATGATGATGATGTTGATAATGACTCTGATAGTTGAGGTAATTGTTAATAACAACTGACGATTGCCGTGATTGTAATAATTCTTATGATATTGATAGCGAGAGTACAGGCTACACACCCTACGAGCTTATATTTGGTTAACATGCAAAACTCCCGTCAAGCTTTAAGAAGCCAGAGGTGGGTCATACATATACAGAGTTACTGCTGCAAATAACGGGGACACTTGCGCAATTACGTTCATTGGCAGCAATGATCCAAATACAGAACAAATACAGATCAAAGTACTATTATGATAGGGCGCTGAACACGAATTTTTTTATGGAAGGTGAGATGGTGTATGTACTAAAAGAGCCAACTAAAGGGAAATTTGATGACCAATACGACGGCCCTTATAAAATAGTTGGCATAGATTACAGGAACTATAATGTGAAGTTACAGAGAAATGAAGAAATACGGGTCTCACATTGGACAAAATAAAAAAAGCTTGTGTATTGAAATCTCCGTGTCCGAGAGATGAGATGATAAGAGGAAAAGACGAAAAGTGAAAGGGACCAAGCGGCAACTTGCTCCCCACCCCAATAGTTACTTACGAATAATAGCATTATAGACGAATAGGGGGTAGAAATAGATGTGAAAATAAATACCAGTTCTCTCGGGAGCTCTTTTTCTTTCGCGGCCCTCGGACGCGCCACGAAGATTCATTAAATACAGGCATACGGGAGGAGACATGTAACGAAAGGAAATATATTACATTCAAAATTAGCACAGACTGAGGAATTAAGGAGAAGAGAGAAACATGCAATATAAAAATAATAATAACAATCATAATAATGAGAGGAAATGAATAAATAAGGTGTATAATAAAGTGATATTCTATTTTTATTTTCTTTGTTACCCTTCACTTAAACGATGTATGTAGAGGTGGGTAAAAAGTGCGTGTGGCTCTATCTAACTAGCGTTAAAACCATGTCAATCCAATTAACACGCAAGTGTGCACTTAGACCCACAAGGGCATATTTATCAATTCATTATGTAAGAGGGAAGAGCGCAAACACGAACAATATGTGTAATAACACAATTATAAACTTGCGGAAAACTAATTAAAGCCTGTAAAAGAAAAATTAACGAGGATATTCATAGGATCACCTCATTAATTTTTCTTGTATGATTAGTATACATTACAACACGAACAACATGATACAGACACTAATTAAACAATCATTCCCGAGGTGGTACAGAAAAGAACGTTGTCGAGAGCGAAAACGAAGCGGCCTCGGACGTGTCACGTACAGTATGGAACATACTACGTGGGGTGGGCTTCAGCTATTAGTATTAGGAAGGAGCACAAGTGGGAGAAGAGAGAGCATACAAAGGCTAGCAGCAGTGGCCACAAGGCCCTTGAACGTCGGGACTAGAAGGAGGATAGTCGCAATAAGTCACCCGGGACCGCAAAGCGCCTTCCCTTAAGGAATGTAGCAATAAAGTGTCTCTCGATGCTTCATTATTTATTATTTTAATTTACAAAAGAAAATAAATAATAACACTAATACACTTGGTTTGTCTAAATTACTTTGTCTGAGAAGAACTTGTCTAACGATAAACTCCTAAATTCTTTTGCTTAGGAAAAGTTTGAGTCGTACTTGGTGCAATTTTGGTTTTTATTGAAAAAACTGAAGTTATGAAGAAAATATAACAAAAGATCAACTCACTAGAATTTATTTTTATTTTAAGTGATTGTAATAAAATAAAGCAATGCCATTATATGAATATAATAAATTGATTAGTAAACAGTTAGGGCCAAATTACTTCCTAAAAAATAATATTGTTCATTTCTATGGTTAAGTAAAGTTCCTTATAATTTTATCTCATAATAAAATTACGTGGGTCATTAGGTCTAACGATAACAAATTTTCTATCCCTCTCATTCCGAGGATTAAATTGGTACTATCAGTATTAAACTCTCTAAACACATGAAAATATAATTTTTTAAAAAAAACTTACGGACCTAAAGGTAATGTAACAATCACTTTATTAGAAAGAGATTTTTTTTAATATCCAAGCAGTACATTTTAAAACAAATAAACTGTGAGTCACACATCCTGTTGTTTGTGTTGCAAAAGGCAACAAATCTATTATTCATCATGGTTTGAAAAACTTACATTAAGCGTCAGTCTCGCTCAAGCGCTCGTACCGAACCCACGCTTTCTGCGCACGCCCGTTACACATTGTTCTTACTCAGAATTGAGTTCTCTCTGCACGGCCCTTTTCTCTTTTTATAACGGCGACTTAGTGGCGCCGCGTGACTGTGTTTCTGATGAACTCCACACCCGCGTACACGCCACCCTCAGGGGTGGCCCAATTGGCTAGCCCTTCACTGGGGTGCAGCCAAACAATTAACACTGAGAATAATCCACAATTCAATGTCATTATGAATAATTCTTTCGACGGGCTGTTTAAAGATACAGACTCCTCATCTTTCGAGATGTTCGCGTTCAATAGTGCAAGTGATAGTGCACAGTTCCCCGCAATGTCTAACGTCATGTCATAGACAGCCGGCCAATGGACCAGCAATCCCTTGAGCTGAAGAGCCGAGATTCCCGCGTCAACCAACTTAACTCTCAGCAGGAACGCAGCCCGCTCTCCCAAGACACAGCTGTGCCTCCTGTAATCGCTAAGAAACTTGACAATCAAAAAAGACGGATCAAGTACCTGGAGAAAAAATAGTGAGTGAGTACTCTGTTCAGCAGCTCTAATGCGCTAAAGCGCTCCAATGCGGAGAAAGATGCGACCATTGTAGCACTCTCTGCAAAGTCCCCACTCACAGCGAAAATTCCGCTTCTAAAAGGCCCGGGCCTTCTTAATCCGTCACTAGGAAACTGTGACCCCCTAAACCTCAAAAATTCTTTCACTGTGGAAAGATGAGCAATTCCCCTCGCTACCAAAAACGGTAAACACCCCTGCAAATCCCCCAATTGTAAATCCATCCCAGAAAAACCACGGCATGCGTGATCTCGACACAGAAAATTTTACAGCCAACTTCTCCGACATGGAGATTGAAAAATCTCCAATCCAAGTGTCACTACTCAGTTCTCCCCAGACAGGGAAAAATGTTTCCGATGGTCATCTTAAGGAGCAAGCTCAACATGATACGGAGGAGGCTAGTAGCGCGCCCAAAAAGAAGGCACCCCCAGCGATCACAATTTTGGACCAGAAATTATGGCTAAAGATAAATGAAGCCCTCCTTGCGGAGAATATTTCTGTCTGCCTCGTAATCACGACTTCCGAAGGTATACGCGGATACCCTGACAACGTCGACGGCTTTTGACAAATCGTCTACGACCTTGACGAGAAAAAGGTCAAGTTCATTACCAAACAGCTTTACAATGACCGTTAAGTAATAGTCATTATCCGTGGAGTCAATACACTATACGGAAGCTGAAATCCTGGACATGATCCAGAAAAAAGTACCCTCTGTCCGTCGTGTTTATCGTATGACTAAAGGTGACTGAACCTGGTCAAAGGTCACGGTACACTTGGATGTGTCAGATATCAAATCCCACGACATCTACAACATCAGGTATCTCGGGGCACTTCTGCCAGAGTGGACCAGAATTGTAAGTCGAACGACATTCCCCAGTGCCCTCGCTGCCAAAAGTTTAACCACACGGCGGCCTACTGCCGTGCTGCCTTTGTTTGTTTTTTCTGTAGCTCAAACCACGCCACCGCAACCTGTCCACAAAAGGACAAGGACCAAGCCACCCCTTGCTGTGCAAACTGCAATGGCGAGCACTGCGCCTTCTACTGGGGTTGTCCAAAAATCCCCCAGAAAGGAGTTTAAGCTCCCAAGAAAAGTACTGCCCCTCCTCATCCTCTTGGAAAAGCCACCCCTTAGACAACAACCCACGGCTCGAACACCATTCGCCCGGGAATGTCACACGCACATTTGGCATCCTCTCAACAACACCGAATAGGAGCTTAATTCCTCACTCCTTTGCTCAACACACCCCGTACCACCGAGACAATCCTCCACTCAATAATGACCCTGCTGACTTGCCTCGACCAAAGAGTGTCCGGTCTCAAGGGCAACAGAACAGCAGCACGCTAGACAGAGACTTCACGCTACTCAGCTAGAACGCAAATAGCATCACACAAAACGACTGAACTTACACATATACTCCAAATAAAAGACATCGACATTGCATTCATTACAGAAACACACCTAGACAACTCAAAAAAACTGTACATATTAAATTACATGGTACACAGACGTCACAAACGTCAAGATCAACATTGAGGTTCCAAGTGAACTGACTCACTATCATAGCTCACCAGACCAAGACCCAGACATCTTAGACATATTCCGGATGAAAAAATTTTAAAAAAATATTCACCATCCTTACGGAACCACGAACATCCCCAGACCTCCCTTGCAACCATAACCGTCTACCTAAAGATCCCTTCTCACCATACCCGTTACCACCAGCCACATAGTCTGGGTCCACCTTGCGTATATCCTCGAATCCTTCCCATTTAATGTCGCTTCGTCGTTATAATCATTGTTTTTATAAGTGTCATCGGAATCGCTGTTGTTCGAATCACTATCATAATTCTCACCATTATCATTACTATAGTTAACGTTATTATCATTATCATGATCTTTATCATCATCGTTACCAATATAATCATTGTTATCATAATCAATATTCTCATGGTTATCATCATATTCAACGTTATCACCATTGTAACTGTCATAATTATCGGAACTATTATTCTACTTATCCTCGTCATATCTATTATCATTGTCATCATCTACATAATCCTTATTATAACAATCGTTTTATAACCATTCTTATCATCATAATTTTTATAATTGTCGCTTGCTACTTTGTCAACGTCATCTATATTCTTATTATCAATGTCGTCGATCTTATGACTGACTTCGTCATTGTTATCATCATCGTAATTATCGTCGGTATACTTATTATCAATACCATCAGTATCATTGTTAACGTTATTATGACGTTTATTGTCATCGTTATTGTTATGGCGGTCATTGACATCGGTATCCGTATCATTATCGACATCACCAATGTCATTGTTATTATCAAAGTAATTGCTAACAATTCTATCATTGTCATTGTCATCGTCATCATCATCTTTATTATCATTATCATTTTTATTATCTAAATCAACGTTATCACCATCATTATAGTCATCTTTAATTTCATCGTTATAACCATCGTTTTTATTGTCGTTATCATGGTCCCAATTATTGTCCCTCTCGTCATTGCCGTTGTCATCGTTATTGTTGTCATTACCCTCGCCATCATTGTCATCATTATTGTTATCATTGTTATGATCGTTATTACCGATAATTTTGATATCATCAGTATTATTGTCATCGACATTGTCCTCATCACTGTCAATGTTATCGTAATCTTTATTGTCATTGTCATTGTAATTTATACCGTCTCTGGTATAATAATTATTATTATCACCATTTTTATCAACGAATCGTCATCTTGATTGTCATTAACATCATTATCGTCATTGTTATTATCATTAATTTGATCGGCATCTTCACCAACATTATTATAGTAAGTGTTGTCATTGTTGTTACCATTATTGATAACAATGGTAACGGTGACGATTTTACAAACAATTACAATGATAAAAACGGTGGCGATAAGAAAAATTTTAATATTGACAACTATGATAGTCATAAGGATAATTTTGACGACGATCATGGCAGTATAAATAATAATAACTCAGACAATGACAATAATGGCAATGGCAATAAGAATGACGATTATAATAGTGACAATTATAAAGATGATTATGATGATTTAAATAATGATAATGATACGGATAATGATAAAAAAAGCATTAATAATGACGCTGACAATAATGATGACGATGACAATGATGATAACAATGACGTTAATAATAACATTTATAATAATAATGACGATGACAATACGAATGACGATGACCCTGACAATAATAACAATTCAGATAATAATAATACTAACGATAAATGTTGATGACAACGATGATGATAATCACAAGGATGATGATGATAGAAGCGATGAAAATGACGATGACACTGACAATAACAACGACCATGAAAATGACCATGATGACAATGACAGACATGATTAAAAAGTCAATAAAAATAATGATCACGATCATAATATCGATAACGATAAAGACAATTGTGACATTGACGATAATAATGACGATAATGATGATTGTGACGATGACGATGATGATAACAATGATGATGATAATGATAATCACAATTATAACAAGAATAATAACAGCAACGAAAATGACAATGATAATGACAATGACGATGATTGTGACGATGACGTTGACAATGACAACAACGATGACGATAATGATGACATTTACGAGGACTAAAATAACAATGCTGTTGACAATGATGTTGATGATGATGTTGATAATGTTAAACGATGACGATGAAAATAACGTCGAAGATAATGATAATGAGGATGATATTAATGAGAGTAATAATATCGATATTAATAACAATAACGGCAATGATGAAAATGACAATGATAACAATGATGATAACGATGACAATGACAATGACGATGATTATGACACTGATGAAGATAGTGATAATGATGACGATGACGACGATGATAACGACATTGACAATTATGATGAGAATAACAATGACAAGGACAAGAAGACGATGACGATGAAAATGACGATAACGACGACGATGATCGTAACGATGACGTTGATAATGACAACGACGATGACGATAATAATGACATTTATGAGGACTAAAATAACAATGCTGTTGATAACGATGTTGATGATGTTGATGATGTTAAATGATGTTAATGATGATGTTATGCGTGTGATGCAAAATAATGATATAACTTGCAATAACCATACGTGAAATAACGTAAGGTGTATTTTTCTATTTTAAATCCAAAATGGCGGTCCGTAAAATATGGTGGATTATAAAATTTATAACCCCCCCTCCCCATATGGGTATCAAATCAAGGGGAATTCTTAGTATAGCACTATGAATACGGTTACCTCGTTCTAAGCAAAAAATTGCAGAAAACTTAAAATGGTGGATTAGTGTTATCTCTGCACCGCTGTGTTGTGGTCATAAAGCAGAAGAGTGCACTTTGCAATGCAGTAATGAATGAGTCAAATATAACGTAATGAATTCTCTATTTACTTGAAAAAAGTTAGATATACATTACACTACCATCTTATATTTAAAAAAAGAATGTAATAGTTAGTCGTGACACACCAAGTACAATATAGTTTAAGGGAGCTTTCCCAGTTCAAAATGGTGGCTTACACAGAATTACGGACTTTTTTCACTCGCTATCCTTATAATATGGGTATCAAATAAAAGGAAATGCGGAGCAAAGTAATTCTAAGTAGAGTAAAATTGAAAGCGTTGCGCCACATGCAATTCAAAATAGAGGGTAACTTGGGTCGGTTTATAAGCCTTACCACGAAGGCCCCTATTACATTAGTACCAACTAAAGCGTAAAGCAAGGAATCTAAAAAAAAAAAAAAACCTATTATTTAATCCTATTATGAAAGTTTAACATACTGTGAAAAATTTTCAATGTTAGTCGGTATAAGACGCAGTATTTCCTTAAAATTTATGACAGAGCTCATTATTTAAGTGAAAAAAAGTGTTATATGATGGTTAGTAACACGATTACTGTATACCACATTTTGAACTCATAATGTTATTATTTTGTACATGAGGCTTCTGATAATAATTTTTTGTCGCACAAATATCATGGCAGTGAAGTTATGTAGAAGGTGAAGAGTAATCCCAAAAAAAAATTCATTTCACAACTTATTTTCGTACGTACTACTCCGAAAGATATACTCGTTTATTTAAATACTAAATAAAAACAAATAAAACTGATAAGATCACGCATGTAGTAAATAACTAACGTTTATTGTTTGCTGTTATTTTCCATGACGGTGGGTTAGAAGACATTTTGTAGGACAGTTTTCAAAAGCTGTGATCTCGCAGTGCATTAGTCCAAGACCACATTTCAGAGCTGAGTCGTCAGGCACAAAATCATTTTTGACATTTCCAAATTTATTCATCGAGTGCTTACATATTTGACACCGAACAGAGGCACTGTTTTCCACAATCCCATTAACACATTTTTCGTTGAACATTGTTAGCGAGACATCAAATTTTACCGTAACATAATTATTGTTTAACAAATAAAATTTATAGCATTTTAGGGAATACACATCATTGTGTAGTTTCTCATACTCTCTTCTGATACATTTGCTAGTTTCCTTTTCTATGGAAATTTTTAAAGTTCGACAAAAACGTGTGGATTGTGGAGTAGTATTCAGCCATACATATTTTTCTGTAAAACATTCAAATTTTATTGTTATTTTGAAAATTTTAAACAATATTAAATCTTTAAGCTTAGTATTTAATATTATTCTAAACATTACTGTGAGTTTGAAAATTGTATTATTAAGTTACACGTACTGTAGATTAAAAGTTTAGATATGTTTAGATAATTAAGTTTATCTACAAATTTTTTATAGAAACAGTTTTTAAGGCAATACAATTAAATTTGAAAGTAAACATCTTATTATCTACAAACGTCTTTATGTAAGTGTTATGGTAATAAAAATGTCTATATAGTAGGCCTGCATGGTCTCGAGACATGTTAACAATACTTCTCGTATAATTTAAAAGTATCGGAGTGTCGTCTAGAAAAATTTCTCGAAGTCTGATCTCGGTCTTGTCTCTATATCTTGGAAAATCTTCGAGAGTTCCAAGAGTCTTGGAGGGCTCAAACTTTTTTGGGAGTCCCCCAAGACTCTCAACGGTCTCTAATATTTTCCGGCACTACGAAACGAATCCAAGATAAGACGAAACTTTACTTAGGATCGTCTCCCTGGGTCTCCTCCCGCCATCTCGTCTCGTCTTGTCTCCAAGCCTGTGTTGCACAGACCTACTAAATAAATTCAGCAAACGGACTACGTGTTTGTTGTCAAGCAATCATCCTTTGAACGAAATGAATACAAGACCAATGAAGCAGTTTGAAATTCACTAAATTTTTAATGCCTTCAGGGCTAAAAATCGTTTTGGCAACAGAATTTACATAAATTGTTTTTTTCATAAGTGAATAAAAAAAAGAATCACTTGACGGTAAATAAGTGAGTTATAAGTACTATAAAATGGAATATTACGATGAAGCAATCTTAAAAAAGTTAATGTGTTGGAGAAGGATAATTATATAAAAGAAATATTTTCAAAATTAACTTAATATATCTTATCATGCTTATCGTATAGGATATTTCCCTTGCTATGTACTGGAGTTTCTTGAGCATTCACATATCGATTTTTAATTTAATCTTATACTGTTATTTGCTCCACGAGGCCTGTATAATACAGCCATTAGATTCAACAATTGCTTCAAACATTAATGATTAAGCATGCCAGCAGTTTCATCAAGAAGTAGTGAAAATGCCGATAAGTTTAAAGTAGTTTTTTTACTTATGTTCCTTATAAGTCCTGTAAAGTAGGGTAGTTAATCTACTCAAACTGCTTGTTTAGAAAATTAGTGCATTATTAGTGTGAATGCTTAATTATAAAATGATTGTTGATAATAAATATAGTCGATTTAACCTGTGACCAGAGTTAAAGTAAAAATAAATGATTACTGGTAATGCAGGTATACAATATTGTATTATTAATGTTTTAGTAAAAGTAAGATAAGTGTTAGCCAATACTCTTACCGTTAGATGCACAGCTCAGTTGCATTATGTTTATGGTTGTACATAAAAGTGGAAGCTCACTGTTTTCATTTTCATTCTTAGAGTTTTTACATTTTTGTTGAGTGTTCATGTGCCCTGATGAGCTGTCGAACCCTCCGGTAACTCGAAGCACCAAACTTTTCAAATGATTAGCAGCCCAATCCAAACAAACAGTATTACATAGTCTTTCTGCAGTTTTGTTAAGTAGGCTTTGTAACGATCTACTGACTTTAACTTCAGATACTGTAATGCTCTCAGGTAAAAATTCGTTCATTTGTCCTTTTATTATTTTGTAGCTTGAGTATATATTTGCATTTCGCAATTTAGAATCTTTTCTGAAAGTTGCATACATTTTTTTACTTAAATCTAGCTCTAAGTTGGAAGCAAGCCCGGTCTCTTTAGTGTGAAATAAAAGGTTTTGTTGTACAGTATCTTATGCTGTTTTGGTTTTCGTTCTGTTTTTGCAAATACTAGTTACCAATTGCAAAATATTAGGATCGTTATCCGCCAACTGTAGTACGGTATCTGCTCTCCGATAGAGAGTAGATTGGCTTACATTACTTATTAGTATTTTCTTTTTTCCACCTTTTGTATTATGATTTTTAAAAATTTTTTTAGGTCGACCCCCTTTCTCAGATTGGTATTTTTTCTTTTGACGTGGTTTTCTTGGCATTCTATGTGTTTGTTAGAAAAAATCATATCTGCATTACCTCATGTTGTTTCTTAAAAGTCAAAGTCAAGTATTTTTAATTTGATCACACGACATATTTTCGGTGCTTGACTGGTTTCTACAGTCAAACATCGAAACGCAGCATTAAACATTATTTATCGTTGTATAATAATTTTTTTGATTATTGATGGAAGAGACTTCAGAAATCAAGATATATGAATAGTCGAGATAGATAATCGAAGTTGTGAAGTGGAATTTCGTATATTGTGA